CAACTCTGTGCTGGAGTCTTACAGTATCAAATAGACTTTTAAATATGCAACAGTTGGCTTTGTTTATTTTTAATTTTTTAAAAAACAAATTCTTATATTGGGAAAAACCCGCGAAACAAGAATGGAATTTCGGGGCTATTCACACAAGATTGAATCGAAAATAGTAGGACAATACAGTTTAATCACAAAATTGTATGATTTTTTATCCAATTACGTCGATAACGTGTATTTACTTTTAAATCAAATTTGAAATTGTTTCAAATTACTGTATTTTTTTATTCAAAACAATACACACATATGTATATGTATTGACAGAATAAGGAACCGAATGAAAAACAATTGTATTTAGGGGGTAGCTTTGTTCTACTTTCTGTAATTATGCCATGATATGAAGTATAAAAGTACAAGCATGGTAGAAGAATATAGGTAGATGCATCAACGCTTGGGAACATTAGTATGTCAACAATTTTAAAGTGTTTTGTCAAAAATATGTAGATTTTTATATGTTTCCTTATACGACACAAATCTGAGGTTATAAATTTCAATAATTGTTCATTCAAGATTTTCAATTCCAAAATCGGTTTGACAGTTCTTTGCCCCAACAGCTTTGTCGACGCGACTACTTGTATTCTTCTACCATGATATGAAGTATAAACGTACAAGTATTGTAGGTCAACAAACACGCATTTATAGCTAGTTTACATAAAACAATTTTACCCGGATTGCCAATGCCAATCACAATAAATTTAACGCATTTCTTTCAAATTTATTGTGATTGCTCAATTTGTTTGTTATTCAGCCAGATTTACTATTCTTCTCCTGCAGTTATTTTAAATCCAGCATAGGGATACATGTCAAAATCAAAGGTTGGCTTTAAAACATTTCATTCCTTTTTAGACCAAATTCGACAAATATCTAACACAGACGACAAGATGAATTGTTTGTGGTCCAATTCTGCTTTTAGATTTTTTATCGCAACACCAAGTCCATTAATCTTACTCTATTAATAGCTGTTAGTCAATTCAAAATCTCTTTTGACAGACGTCGCCACTAATTCTACTATGAAGTGAATTGAAGAACTGAATTTAGCCTGGCCTTTTGATTCTGAGGAATCGCCATCATCTCCCCATCAACCAGGGTTTCGCTTTTAAGACAAAAAGTTGATTAATCGAAAGTCGATAGGTGTCCCTAATCCGGCAGAAAACAAAGACATACAGCAAGGTAGTTGTATCAGGAACTCGAATTGGCGAATTGCTACAACATAGCAACTATTGTGGTACCATTAAATGTCAAAATTGACACCCAAGGCGAAAAATGGATTTGCCTTGAAGCCTAAAGTTTCCGGCAAATTTGCTTCAACCAATCAGCAAATTTGCTTCAACGTCTGTCTATTGAAATCACGATACGCCCACATTATTTGACGTAGAGCGTCAAAATTTAGCAGATCAATTTGTATTGTGTCTAGGATGGTTGGTATTGAAAATGAGATATATCGGTCCTTCCGATATTCGGTTTTTTATAATTCTTGCCACATTTTTTCACAGATTTGTCTGAAAATTGGTATTTGTAGGTCATAATGGGTCCTAGTTCGTGTGGCGAAATATTGTATGCATGGGTCCACGCTTTGGTATAGCCCCCAAATAACGGTACCTCCCGATTTTTGGTGTTGTGATGATTTTTGCCACATTTTTGCACATATCTGCCTAAAAATTGGTATTTGTTGGTCATAATGGGTTATTGCTCCGGTGGCGAAACCTTGCATGTATAGGTCCACGTTTTGGTATAGCTACCATATAACGGTACCTCCCAATATTCAGTATTTTGATGGTTTTTGTTAGATTTTTTCACAGACTTGTCTAAAAATTAGTATTTTTGGTCTTAATAGGTTCTGGCTGCGATAGCGAAACATTTTATGTATAGGTCCACTTTTTGGAATAGGTCCCATATAACGGTACCTCCAGATATTCGGTATTTTGATGATTTTTGCCACATTTCTTCGCGGATTTGTATAAAAATTGGTATTTGTGTGAAGTAATGGGTCCTAGCTCCGTTGGCGAAACATTGTATGTAAAGGTTCGCGTTTTGGTATAGCTACCATATAACGGTACCTCCCAATATTCAGTATTTTGATGGTTTTTGTTAGATTTTTTCACAGACTTGTCTAAAAATTGGTATTTTTGGTCTTAATGGGTTCTGGCTGCGATAGCGAAACATTGTATGTATAGGTTCGCGTTTTTGTATAGCCCCATATAGCGGTACCTCCCGATATTCGGTATTTTGATGACTTTTTGTCACATTTTCACACGAATATGTCTAAAAATTGGTATTTGTGGGTCATTGTGGGTTCTAATGTTTCCTTTACCCTAAGGTGAAATTTATTAAAAGTTAATATTTTTTTACTTGTTGACATTTAAATTAAATTTCTTTTTTCACATTGGTCTATTATATATTGCCAATTTCTGTAGTAAAAATATTACACATTTCATCTACATATATCTAATTTTCATTGAAACGCTTTTGTTATTATTTGTCAAATGTGAGTTTTATATTTTAAATAATTATTTTCATTATATTTTATAAATATATTTATTTACAACGTCTTGATTTATCATGCAAAATGCTTAGCATTCATTCAACAATATATGTACTGAATAAAATTCAATTTAATTTAAGTTCAATTTTTTATTGTATATTTTTATTTTTTCTCCTTTATATTAAATTTTTAAGTTATGCCATGTTTACGTTAGAACTTTTTGTAGGGTTAACCTACTTTGAGAGGATTTATTTGAAGTAAAAGTAATGGATATGACAATTTAAATCCAAATCCAGTGGGTTAACCCTCATAAATATAAACGTACTATTAGCATTACAAAAAAATCGGGAAAAATATTTGCATAAACATTTTTTGTTTAATTTTAGTAAATTTTCGAAGAAAAACAAATTAAAATAACAAAATCAATGCAATGCTTTTTAATGTGTGTTAATTGTGTGTAACTAATTATAATTAATATTAAATTAATGTCGTCGTCTCATAACCCAACATTAAAATGTAGAACAAAAAAGGAGAAGAAGCAAAAAAACAAAATAAATTAGTTATATTTTTAAGTCCAGGTTTAGTAATACGCAATGAAAGGTTTTATTTGCAAAACATACCGCACGAATTCATAACAAAATATATATTTAAATTGATAAAAAAAAAACAAACAAAACAAAGGAGAAGGAAAAGGAAAGCGTAATCGAAAAACGCAACATATTAAGCCAGTTAAAATGCATTAATTGTAACCATATGCATATTATTATAAATGAAATAATATTAATAAAAATATTTGAAAACAAAAATATAACAAGTGTTTTAATGCATTATTGTAGGTGCATAAAAGTGGGAACGAAAAAACGTATAATTGATTAATATAAAAGGCCGTATTAAATATACAGTTCATGTTTCGTTTCATATTTTTAACCTCCATATAGAGTTTGCCTTGTTTTTTATACCCTCCATCATACATAGTATGGGGGGTATATTAAATTCGTCAGTTCGTCAAGTATATATATTTTTGATCACCGTAAAATTCTAAGACGATTTAGCCCTGTCCGCCCGTCTGTTATAATCACGCTAGAGTCTAAAGGAAGCTAAAATTTTCCACAGATCAGTCTTTTGTGTGCAGGCAGCTCAAGTTCGAAGATGGGCTATATAGGTCTACGATATCGTATAGCCCCAATACAACGGTACCCCTCGATATTCGTTATTTTGCTGATTTAAGCCACATTTTCCAATGGAATTGTCTCAAAAAACACACAAGCAGTTCTTTCTGAGAACTTTACCTCCTGGAAGAGAATTGTTTATATAGATTCACGATATCGTATAGCCCCCATATAACGGCACCTACCGATATTCGGTATTTTTATGATTTTAGCCACATTTTGAAATGGAATTGTCTGAAAATGGACCCACGGAATTGCCTTTGCATACTTTGCCCTCTGGGAGAAAATTGTTAAAAGATCCACGTTTAGGTATAGCTCCCATATAACGGTACCCCCGATATTCGGTATTTCGATGATTGTAGCCAAACTTTTCAATGAAATTGTCTGAAAATCCACAAAAGGAGTACCTTCTAAATACTTTACCCCATGGAAGAGTATTGTCTCCATAGGTCCAAGGTGTCATATATCCCTCATATAACGGTGTCTCCCTTTATTCGGTATTTTGATGATTATAGCTACTCTTTTCTATGGAATTGTCTAAGAAATCCATACTAGAAGTTCTTTCTAAGCACTTTACCCTCTGGAAGAAAAATGTTTATAAAAAATGTCTATGCAGGTCCAGGTCTTCGTTAATCTCGACATGACGGTACCTCCCCATACTCGGTATTTTGATGATTTTAGCTACATTATTCATCGGGTTTTTCTTTTCAAGTTTCGTATTTGAATATTGTAAAGGCTTATGCCAAAAGTTGCCAATATAACGGATATATTCGGATAATTTCCAAATTCGTTCCAAAAGTTCAAAATTCGACCCGGTCGAACTTACTGTTTGTACTTGTTTTATTTCCTATTTGGTTAATAGAATTCGTAAATTTCTACTTAAATCCAATTTAATATTACGCCATAATAATTACGACATAACATAATCTTATTACATCTTCAATAATCCACAGTTTACACATGTCGCTAAACATGATAACATGGTACTGCAAGGAGGTAGACAGCTTCGCAAAACTAGAGAAATACAGCCCTGCGGCTATGCCAACTTTTTGTCATAACAATTCCAAATTAGATACAACAAGTTATTCTCATTTATTTGATATTTTTCCTCATTTTTGTAATCGAGCTAAAATCCGCGAAAGAAAGGCCTTTGCTGCAAAATACAAATACAATTGCTTTGTTCCAGAACGTGCAAGAATCTACCAGTTTTGCAATTTTTGTTCGATATCATAATGGGAAAATGGCTTATCGTACTAAAAACTTGTAACATTCTTGCAGTTCTGAAACAGACCAAATAATTTTGTTTTTAATAAATTCTTTGTTGTATTTTAGCATTATCTATCATCTAGGAATATTTATCTACAACTACGTTTAAAACTAATCTAGTTTATGACTTTGGATATGAAACCAAAAACAAATGTAAATATGAATATAAATTTCATAATGCATGTGAACTGAGGGTTGTTCTTTTGTAAAGTACCTCCAATAGAAAAAATGAAATGTTTAAGAATAGCATGAAAAAATTACATTTTTGTCATTGCTCTTAAAAACTTAAATTACTAGTAGTTTAATCATTTTTAGTGGTTGTTGGTGTAGTAGTGCGACTAAGCGGGTTCAGAGTGATTATCTTCGGCGATGTTTGTATAGTGGCGTTGTTGGCCGAGGCCGATGATGAAAGTTCTGCTTCTGTGGGAGTTGAAGTGATTGAAGTGGGATTAGCAGCAACAATGCTAGGTACAGGTGAAGAAGATATTGTAACACCACCACTACCAGAGGATCCTGCTGAAATGGTTGTTGACTTAGTAGCCGGCACTAAGTTTACTAATTTGCGTACAGTGAGATTACGATTCAACAATTGACTTGTCAAATGCGGTGGCAACTGTTTAAGGCCTCCTGGCTTCACTACAATGTTTCGTATCTGGGGCTTATCCGTAGATATAAGTGTAGCATTTGGGTTATTGATTATTTGTATTTGAGGCAAATTTTTGGTTTGTACATTAAGAATGCCAGTCGATGAGCGTGTTGGCGTCGTAGTGGGAGAATTCGAGGTTGACGAAGCAGAACTCAGTGGTTGAATGTTGATTTTCTTTACAGTCGATGCCAAGGGTGATGTATTACTGCCGCTCAGACCACCGCTTGTAAGATGTGAACCCGCTCTGGGTATTATAGAAGCTCCTGTAGGAGACTTGGAATTTGTAACTACAACTTTAGTGTACTTGGGCATTTGTTGAGATAGACTTGAACGCGATATAATGCTGGGACAGGGTTTCATGGTATTACGATTGATGAAGACCACCTTATTAGGTTTATTAGCACCTATTTGTTGAGGCTGAATTATGGTTCCTGGTTTGTTAATTACATATGTGCCACTGCTGCTAGTAGTTGGTCCACCACTGGTTGATATGGTTGGCGTATTTGCCTCTTTAATGATTTTTTGGCTAATTATCAATTGGCCCACACCGGATGAAGCTGCAAACACACAAAACAAAGCAACACATAATTCAAGACATTATAACAGCATATTTAAATATTTCTACTAACCTGGCTTAATTGCTGGGGTTGTTGGCTTTGCTCCCACGCCTTCTGATATATTACCATCGTTATCAGCAAAAACAATTGGCATATCTATAATATTCGATATATCCAGATTACTTGACGAGGTCGATGGTGTGCTGGAGCCTAATGATGTTGATCCAATGGGATGCAGCGTCTTAGCGGTTCCAGATAATTGCAATGTAGTATTTCCGGTGGTATTCTTTAGAACTGTATATTTCGGTTGACTACCCACAGCTGTTGCAAATTGTGTGGTTTGGCCATTTGGTGTTTTGAGTGTAAATATATGTTGTCCGGTACTAGACGTGCTGGGACTTGTTGTAACAATGCTTCCAATACGGGGTCCTGATAAAATATCACTTTGATTCTGAGCCACTATAGATCCCGTTTTGATGGTATATATTTTTGATTGTGATTGCAATGTTGTTGGTTTTAATTGCACAAACTGATTTGAGGGTATCATTTTTATTTTAGTACCAATTGATGTTGAAGAAGCACCACCAATAACCAACTGTTTTTGGGGGGCAGTGATGACTGTGGTCTTTAGAGGTGTTGATTTTCCCGATTGGGTAACCAGCTCAAAGTTTGTTACCAACTTATTGGAGTTGGAATCATTGCTTGTTGCACTGTTATTCAAACTGGCGTCTGGATCATTGGAATCTGTAAGCATTGTCATGCCAAGCTCATCATTAGTCGCAGAAACTTTTGTTGTTTTCGGTTGAGTTTTACCAATCATCACTGGCGTGGAAGTATGCATTTGACTAAATTTACCAGCAGGTGTTGTGCCCGCCGTACCTGGTAGTGGACGTGTACGTGGCCTGCCAACTAAGAAGAACAAATAATTAAATTTAAATCAAGTTGAGTTAACAAAACTACAGATTAATGAAAAGCAAATGAAATGAAAAAGTGAATTGTTTACCCTTTCTTTTAACTTGAAAAGGATCTTGAGTTTTAGTTTTCTTGAGAGCTTTTGATTCTTGCTTTGATTTCTTATCTTTTTGTGAAAAGATTCATTTGAAATTGTTAGTATATTTACATACTACAAATTATAGTAAAACCTACCCAAATGTTTTGTTTTTGCTGGTGTACTATCTGAATCAATGCCATCATTTTTCCGTTTACGTTGTTGTCCAGCACCTTTCTCACCGGCCAACATCTTGTTCTGCTTGTTAAATATGTTGCTAGTAACAGAAGTTGGTATACGTGGTCCTGGAGGATTTGTTAGCACTTTCTTTATGAACTCGTAAACTTCATCGACAACCATTGTATCGACCATGGCCTGTGTAACATTTTCAATTTTTCTTCTAGACTTGGGTACCCTTAAAGCATCATCGGCACTGCCAACAACTACTAATGATGATTCTGATTGCATTTTTTCTCGCAATGACTCTATTTCCTCGTGACTGAAAGAGATAAATTAATGAGAGAAATGTCGGAAATTTATGTCAGTTTCTGCTTACCTTGATCTAGCCGAATTTTGTCCAATAACAAAAAGTATTGGTACTTTTATATCCAATATACGATCATCGGGTGTACCACGAACTCCATTGTAGGTATTATAAGCAAACCCCATGCAAACTATACAGGCAACATTCTCAGACATGCCCACTTGTAATGCCAGTGATGCCCCAGCATTGAATCCAATCAATATAATACTACGCTGAGGATTTTCACTGCGCAACTCAAGGATTTTCACTCTCGTCAAAGAAACAATTTGTTCGGCCACTTGCTCCAGTGGTTGGCGGGAAATATGTCCACCTAGAGGCAATAGATGTAACATAGATCATGTCATTAGTAGGATTTAATTTTTTTAATACAATGTCTTTCCCTTACTTGTCATGGGTAATGTTACTTGCACTATTTGCGTTATGGTAGCCAAATGCTGATACCATTTTTGCAAACGATTTGGTACGGGACCACTGGTTGGCATCGAAGGTAATGCCACTATGACAGCATTTTGAGGCAATTTTCGGCTTTTGGTGGCAATTTGTGGTTCCCATTTCTTTTTTAAGACTGGCGCCAATAGTTCTTGGCTTATATTAAGAGGACGTCCAAATAACATTTTATCCATAAGTGTGGGTAACTTGGACTTCAAGGTCTGCAATATATCTAGATATGAAGCCATATAAGTGGCGGGCAATGTATCCATTAAAAGACAATGTAGCCACTGAGTCAGTCGGGATTCCCAACCGACTGAGGCTAAAGCTTTACGCATACGTGCCGCTGACTTATCAACTACAACACGCCGTTGCATGGGCTCATTTGGTCGACCCTGGTTGGCTAATCTACCCAATTGGTCACTGTCCAGTATGCGAACAACTTTGCCGAATAAATTTTTTTGCATATTTGACCAACCAATTCTGCAAAAGAAAGAATTGGGATTTACAAATCGCGTTTTTTTCTAAACTGTAAATTTTTACTTACTGATTTATTTTCATTTCCCAGTCTTCATCATCAGAATTAATGTTTTTAACATATTTTGCAATGCGCGCACATTCATTCATAACCTCCTTGGCGGCAATTTCATTATATGCTGGTATGCAAGCTTGGTTGCATTCATTTAACTCCTGTTCATCCAAAGGGTGTGAATGACATGAGGGACACTGAGGCGGCCGACGCACTAGTATGGTCCGTGCTGGTTGCAATCCATTTGTTACATCACCCAAGGATTTAACCGAGTTATCTCGAATATAGCTGTGCTCCATTTTACCGCTTTCCGTCGATGTATCAGCAGTAGCTGTTGTGCTCTAATAAAATGAAAAAAAAAAACAGATTATTTTTCTGTCTTTTGCATAGCCTACTCAGAAGGAATTTTAAGTTGAAATTTAAACGAAAAGCAATGGCTTCTTGGATGAAAATACCCAAAGTATTTTTAAATTTTAAAAGGGGATAAAAATTCAGTTTGTTTGTCCTGATCTAGGCCTATACAAGTCGGACAAAAAGACCACTTATGGCAATAAACTTGGTAAGTTTTACGTACTTGTGAAATGAGTTTATTGTATTTCAACTTTAGACCCTATCTTAATGGAAACATTTTGCAAACACGAAATATGTTTAAAAAATATAACAAATATTTGTGGTTTCAACTGCCAAAATGTCATTCGATTAAATAAAATTTAAAAACTATGTTTATTTACACTTGATTTTGTGATGACAATGGGTTCGGTTGCCACTGATGCTGCAGTTCCTGTTGCTACTGATGTTGGTGGCGTGAATGGCGTTGTGTTGGGCTCTACCACTGCTTTAGTTGCCACTATTGTCAATTGTGGCCGCTTAGCTGCAACAATTGCCATATTATAACTAACAGTTTTATCCGAGGACGATGAGGAATTTGTCGACGTTCCAGCCGGTTTAATAATACTTTTTAAATCCTTTAAAGCCACTGTACTTGTGGTCTTTGTCGCAATTGCTATGGGCGATGACTTTAGTGTAGCAGCGCCGCCAAAAGATGCATCCGTTGTTATCTGTTTGGCTGTTACAGTTGTATACAATTGTGGCGGTGCTTGTTGTTTTTGTACAGATTGCGGTTTCTGTATAGGTGTAAGGAAGGTTGATTTTGTTATGGCTATCTTTGGTGCTGTCGATTTCAAACTTTCTAGCGTTTTTCCAATACTGTCAATGCTGGACTGCATTTTTTACTACATATCACAGAAGATGAACTTGTTTTTACTAATTTGTATTACTTTCCAACAGACAATTCTTCACAGTTATGCCACTTTTCAGTTGCGTTCAACTAAACAACAACAATTGTTTGCAAATTGGATCTAGCATTTTTTTCTATTTCTGAACTTTTCACTGTAAACGGGGTATGTATGTGTATGGTGTGTGTTGTTGCAAAATATTGCCCAGCTCAATTCCGAGACTCTTAAGCACGTGTTGTACACATAAATGTTAAAACGTTAATCTTAAATATCAAGTTTAATTTGTATTTAATGAATATTTTGCAATTAAACTTTGTATTTTTATGTTTTTTACTAGCAAATCTACTTGTTTCCTCTTTTCGATTGTATTTTTTTCACCATATGAAGCGTCATAAAATTGTGTTGCCATATTTATCTCAAATTGTAATAGATTAGGAAAAAAAAACTAATTATATGAGCACAAGCTCTCTCGCGCCTTATCTCTCGCTCTCTCCCATAATTCTATAAACAAACATATGTCAAACGTGTTCCTTATTGTGAAAAATGATTAAAGCAATAAATGCCATTGACAAATATGAAATACTTACACCGCCATCGTCATCTTCATCGTCTAGTTCTTCATTTACTACTCCACTCCTGCTGGGGTCACTTTCCTTCTTTTGAACAAACTCTTCAAACAACTTTATAAATGACATTTCCAACAGGTATAGGCTGCGATTGATGCGACAAAATTTTCGATATAGGAATTCTCCTTAAGCAAAGCAACAAAGTCACACTTTATGGAACTTTTATCGGATATTTCCTGGTAAACAGCACTAAAACACTTGCCACAAACAAATCATAGATCTGCAAGCCACAAAAGTTCAGTTCATGTCCTCAAGGAGAAAATCACGGCGCAAATTGCGAGAATAAGAACGAAACGAATAACTAAAGCAGAAGTACAAAAAAGAATAAAACAACCAAACGAACTTCTCCAGACGCACTTAACAAACTATTTCAACATGCCACGCTAATTTGTTTGTATTTCTTGCTTGCTCGCATTAGATATTAACTGTTGCACTTTATTTGTTACTTTATATGTAGTTACAATTATATCTTTAAACGATATTGAAATTTCTTTGGGACTCACAAACGAAAACACACGATTTCGGTTTCATGCCTCTATTGTGAAATGAAGCTGTTTAGGGTTATGTAGATCAACTTACAACTAATCGATTACTGACTAATATCGATTTAATCGAATATGACAATTGTAGGAGAGCCATGTTATGTTCCATACAATTAGAAATATATCTCTGCAGCGCGAATGTCTAACTAGTTAATAAAAGAATTAAGCCTTACTTACATGAAAAATGTTGTTTGAATTGCCAATTTATTTGTTTATACGTTAAAAAATGACATTTCTTGTTAACCACACAATTTAGATGTTATTAAGTGGGTGTTTTAGTTTTGGTTTTGTTTTAGGTTTGCTACTTTTTTCGATATCATCATCGTACAATGAAATAAAGGTAACCTCATTTCAAATTAGCATTCCCAGCTCTGCAATTTCTGTAATTTACCTTGTCAAATTTCAATGCATAAAAACAGTTCCAATCTCTGTTTTTGTGTGTATACAATGGACTTATGAATATAGATTTTGATGTTGTCAAAAGTATAAACTTGAAAAATTTGTAAACATATGATTACATGATTTTACCTTCTTAGTTCTACCATGGATATCATTAAGGGAAAATAGTTTATCATAGTAAAAACTTTTACAATCCTGTATTTCTGGAATAAATCAAATGTTGCTACGCTAATTTGTTTACTTTTTACATGAACATTTTAGATTTTAGGCTGATGTAGTTAATTTTATTATTGGCAATCCTACACTCCTTTCTTTCATTATTTAAGGTACAAATACAGAGAGGCTTATTTAACTGACTTAGAGCTGCAAATGCATAGAAGGTTTTTTACTGGCATAAGTCAAAGGCTGGTTTTTTCGTAAATGAACAAAGGAGTTTTAGGTTGACCTAGTTCAATTTAGGCCTTTTCTTTTACGAAGAAGCCAGCCGATTACTTAAGCCAGTAAAAAAGTGTTTTATGTATTTCCGTGTGTATGTATTTTACATATGACATCATTTTTGCTATCACAGAAATGCATAAAAAAATAATACGTTATTGATGTGTTTAACGAAAATTTAATTTTATATGCTTTTATACAACAAACAAATGAAGATGAGAATGCATAAAACACATTTCTGGCTGGTATCTTCGGAAAAGAACAAGTGAGCCTAGGGCCGAAATCGAACTAAGTGAACTTAAACCCTTTTGATCCTCTACGAAGAAACCAGCCGATGACTTAAGCCATTCAAAAAACCTTTAATGGACTTCCACCTAAACACTTTTGATTAAATTATATTTTTCCCATGAAAATAGGGATCGCTGTGTCGTATGATATGTGCAACTTCTAAATATGGAAAGATTTATATTACATATGTAAAAAATATTTCGACTGATAGAGCCTTTAAAAAAGAATGAAAAAATGCTCGTACTGACAGTTGTTTGACAATTCCTTTTTGTTTGTATACAAATATATAAATAAAAATGGCAGAAAATGATGTTCTGAAAAACGAAAATTAATTGCCTAATTTAAACAGAACCACACGTAGCAGACCATCAGACCCACCAACATTCGTTAGGAAGAAAAACTACTCAACCATTTTTTATTGATTAATTACTTTAATTTTGTTTTTTCTTATTACAACTTTGACATTTCATCTTCAATCAGCTGTGGTGTTGCCTTTGTCTGATAGTGGATGTTTCTGAAAATTCACTGAGAATTGATAGCTCACTGAGCCAATGGCTGTGTCTCGTTATTGCTCAGTGTGAGAGAGAGTGTCGAAAGTCGTAGTAGTTGGGGAAAATTTGTGTAAAAATAAGTTTTAATCGGAGCGATTAAAAAATAAAAGAATTTGAACAAAAAGGCGACTAACAATTTTGGCACAAGTCGCCCAACGGGTTTCGATACATTTGAAACTGCAGAATAAATAATATAATTGAGGAAAACATACAAAAACATCAGCTTCAATGGCGAGTTTAATGCGAGTGCCATCGATTTTGGCTAAAAATGCCGCTGCTATGGTACGTTCAAAAAATATATTAAAAATGTTCTGCGTGCGGTGTGTGTGAGGTGGGATGATAAAAACGAAATATTGTTTTGGTTTTCGGGAGAGAGCAAAAATGTGCAAAGAAATTTATCAAAGCAAAGGCTTACACAACCAATTTTCCTCAAATGTGCAATACACATATAGGAAGAAGGCAGGATACGAATGAATTTCACAACTTGCAGGATAGCATGCTCGATGTGTTAAGGCGACGGTAATGAATAATACCACCCACAAATCTGAACCTGCTAAGACTGCCCCTCTGGTAGAAACGTTAAGACATTTTTCGGAACTACTCCCAACAGAAACTGTGCGGTTATGTAATGATACCTCTTGAAGCAAAATGCATTAAAAATTGTAGCGTTGGATAAATTATATTTACTATTTTTATTAGAGAAAATAGTTTTCTGGAAACTGAACCATGTGATTCTCACTGTTAGGTAATACATGTGTAAAATTTTCCATTTGCATTCTTGGCCACGTTAAATGAAAACAGAACACTGTTCATATATTTTCCTTGGGGAAAATGAAATTCTTAAATTATGCGGCTGTCTGAGTGGCATCGACAGTTGTCTTCTATCGCCGTTTTATGTTTGTTTAAGGTTATGTTTGTACCAGTAGAGTTCATTGTCTTCTTCTTTGGGGCCTGCAGATGCATGCTCGTTAATCCTTTATATTTTCAGGGAAAACATTTCATTTACATATTTGATGATGATGATGATGATCTTTTGTATAACCAAATTGAAAACTACTCCATTAAAATTGTAAAATACATATTAGGTAATCTTTGTAGTTGTCGGTATGTTCTCTGTGGTTCTTTTGTTAATATCTTTGCTTTGATATCTTCACACTATGGGGGGAGTTTTCTACCTGTGTGACTTTTCGAGTAATGCATTGAGTGTTTTAAGTTGATATGGATATCTTATCTGACCAATAAGAGAATGCCGCAATTCTACCTACCTACTTGATAGGTCAAGTGTATTTAGTGTTTTCACTTTTTCCATGTTGATAATGCGTTAAAGGTCTGTCTCGTTTTATACATTTAGACAGATTTGAATGATAATAAGTTATGATGTTTCTCAGCATCGGTCAACTATTCTTCGAAAAGACGAGAATTATCGCTCGAATTAAATTTATTTGCCTCTGCGTTCTAGCAACAGGTTAAGCAGGGACGTACGTCGAGAGGCCGAAAGGTTACTTTTCTTAATATATATATTTTTTTGCATTTTACATGGAAAATTTATTTTTTCCACCTTTTAATTAAATGCGTGTTTATAGGGAAAGCTTGTAATTATTTGGATTTTAGATAAATGGTCTACTTTTCCCCCTACTTTCAACGAAATCATCTGCAAAAGTAGAAGTACTAAATCAGCCTTCTGGCTGAGACTGATTGTTTTTTTTTTTTATGAACACATGTGTAACAGCTTATTAAGAATGCTTACCGCAGAGAACAAACTATTGAATCTCTGCTGTTTTAACAGTTGTCTGGTTATCTGATGTGACAGTTTTTGGTCGATAAGGGCTCATGTGGTTCCAGACCGTATACCAAATTTTTGCTGTGAAAGTTTTAAGCTTATATTTCAGCATTGTCTGTCTGTTATGAAGAAGAATTGCCATAGAGTTGAAAGACCCAGAATTAAGGAATATAAAATTGTAATTTTTTTAGCTTTTCCTTGTTAAGGCGAAAACACATTTTTATACTCCACACCATTCTATGGAGGGTATATTAGCTTTCTCATTTCGTTTGTAACTCCTCGAAATATTCATAATAGACTGACGACAGTATATATATTCTGAATGAGTGTAAAATTCTAAGACAATCTAGAGATGTCCGTCTGTCTGTCTGTTGTAATCACGCTATCTTTCGAACGAATTGTGTACCAGTAGGCAATTTCGTAAATGGGCCATGTCGGTCCATATAGCCCCCATATAACGATACCTTCTGATATTTGGTATTTTAATGATTTCAACAATATTATATACCGGAATTATTTCAAATTTTATATTGGTTAATAAGTACTACAACCTATGACAAACATTTTAATATGCTGGTCCACGTCTTCGTATAGCCCTCATATAACGGTACCTCCCGATATTCTATATTTTAATGATTTTAGCCACATTATTTACTGGAATTATTTATAACTATCACATACTCAACAATTGTAGTGTTCGTTTGTTTGCCAAGACACCGAAGAAGAATAGCAAAGTTGTAAATTTCACGGGATCTAAGTACTATAAGAA